TTCACTCTTAGGAAAGAGAGCCTTTGTGTTTCATCCTCATCATCATCGAGACTAACGGTCGAATATCGGCATATCATTAGTTCAGATATTCAATACTATAAGCTATATATCTCCATATTAAGTAGAGTTAGAAAGCTGAATCTAACAAAAAAATGTGAAGAATAATAAGAGGTAGTTCAATAAAAATCTCATGAAGATTGGTTAAGCGCATCTAATTTTATTTTAATTTTACGGTTGCGAGTTCAAAAAGTATAGAGAGCGTACAACTAAACCCATATTTTGTAAGAAAATGGAGCTCAAACTTTATCAATATAGATAAAGTGCATACAGTTTTCCTACTTTTTAAGATAGAACCACTTGTTATAATTAATCTATCTCTACCTTTTGAACTGGATTCAAAAATTCATTATGTGAATCTTTCAACTGCGGCTGCAGCTACTAATAGATATATTCTATCTGCTCTTGTTCGTCTTAGTTAACAAAACTTACTGATAAAGATTATCTCTATTTTCAGAAGACAAGAACTTATCATCATTTCTACTCCAATTGTGATTCTGCTGAACTTGCAGAGATTTATCATAAAAGATGCGCTGGTATAAAATTCATACAGTTTCTCTAATGGGTCTGAAGATCTCTGCTAGGTTCACTCGGTATTTTAGCATTTTTCGATCGTACGAGAAATATTATGCGTATACGATCGCTTTAATCAGTCTCTTCGTCGTATTTCAATTTCGCATATGTCTTTTACACACAAATAAGAAATTAGATTTGCAAGTGGCTAAAACGGCAGCGACTTACTCACCTTCGCCCATATCTATGATCTATAAATCTTGGCCAAGAATATTCAACGAACGCTGTAATAATTTAAATTCAGCGGCATGCGTAAGATGTAATTCCTTCACGGGCAATTCAGTACAAAAAAATGAGTTAGTCAATTTGATTAGCATAGTACAGCAATCTCGCTCTCTAATGTATTGTCCTGTTCCAAAAGTAGCAACAAAAACTCTTCTTACTGTTATGCTATATATGCATATTCATGACATCCATGAACATCTCAATAATAATTGGGCAAATATTGATGTTGCTAGAGCTCAAACGGAAAAAATGATCAATATTTCTGCATTCATTGAAGATCTTCGACGGGTATGACGAAGAAATGTTGATGCGGTTTGAATGATCTCCTTATATTTTGTTCGACTCTTTTACTTTAGAATAGAATCATAATTCCGAAGACAGAAGAACCGAAATCTCTTGCTGCGTTTCTTCGCATCTACCTTGATATCCTCCGATTCGGTAGTATCAATGCAACATCCTCTTCTCTACCTCTGAATCCTTGGAGACTCAGTTTTACATTCGCATTTCCTTATCTTCGTCTTCATAGTCTCTCCAATTTATCTCAAATATTCTCTCCATCTTTCATCCGAGCTATATTCGTTCGTCATCCATTTGACCGTCTTGCGTCAGCTTATAAAGAAAGAATTGCAACGCTCACACAAGATAGAATTCAGTCGGAACCCGAATACGACGCGATGCGCGAAATGATCTGTCGACGTATGCGACCCAGGAAGATCGGTCAACCATTACATAATAGCAATGCATGCCTAGGGACGGTTCCTTCATTTGAAGAGTTTGTTCGATACATTCTTATTGGCACTCACATACCTGGTAGAATTGCTAAAATGAACTATCATTGGCAGCCATACTCAGTGCTTTGTCAAGTCTGTAAATTTAAATATAACTTTATTGGTAAATATGAAACATTCAATGAGCACTTCACTAATTTCCTCAAACTTTTTAATCTATCTGATTGGAATATTCAACAGCGAAATGGTGCATCAGGTCTCACTACATGGGATTATCAGAAGTTTTACTCAACCTTATCAGATGAGCTAATCTGTCAGCTCATACGTGTGTATGAGGAGGACTTTCGTCTATTCAACTATCGAGTTGATACTTATATTAATCGAACCACATTGATTCAAAATTGTAACCTATTGAGAACATTCTAATTGATCTCAAGCGACTGGCCAAAGTTTCAGATCAATCAGATCCGAGTGTTCATCGATTGGTTCAGAAAGGTTTGTAAACCGATATAAACTGGCCATTTTGTTAAATAATTTTTCATTGATTAAAAGTAGTAGTTTCAAACAAACTCTTGTTTTTTGTATATAAATTTTTATGAATCTTGACAAAGAAAGCCTATACTGTGTTTCTTTAAATAGATAAGCGCTACAAAAAGAGAATATTTAATATTTCTTCAGTACAAATTTAAGAGTCATAAACAGAAGTCTATATGTAAGTCTAGCCCATAGTTGGAATGGAATCGACTGGCTTGCCGATTACTAGTCTGGTCTGTTTGAACTTTTCAGACAGGATGTAGGTTGGTATGAAGGAAGATAATTTGAATTTTCCACACCCACATTATCTCAAAAACTCTCTCGGATTTTGTTGCCAATCAAGTGTGCAATTAAAGAAAGATATCTGGTACAAAAATTTAAAAAAAAAACAACTCTATGATACTACTGAGGACCAAGCAAATGAGAATACATCAACTCGTTCGGTTTTGACGATAGTTTAAACTATTTCAAAACAAGAGTTTAAAAAGACATGTGACACTTTGTAAGAAAGAACTGAACTTTATATAAATGTGTATGGAAACTAGTTCGAAAATTTAATAAAATGAGATTTGTGAAGTTTCTTTATTATTCGATTTTTGTTTGTTGCTCGAACTTTTGATTACATCTTCATATATATTTGTGCATCAAGAGTAGTGATAACATAATTTATTCAAATAAATTCACAATATTCATTGAAACACCAACTGAGTAAAGTAGAATTTAAAAACAACGCTTCATATAGTATATATTTAAGCTCGTTACATGAATCGAATCAGAATCATAGGTATGTAAAAGTTTTGAATAAAATATTTCAGAAAAATATCAATCTAATTTGTACGGAGGGAAGTGTCCACTAGACCATGTAAATGAGATTGACATGCTCTCGGTATTTCACTGTATGAAATATTTTAGTGAAGTAATATGAAGGTATGCAATATTCCAGAATGCAAAAAATATACGATGACTGGCAAACATTCTTTTTCGAAGTGAGTACATGAAAAAATAATTTATCTATTATTGTTACTCAAAGATAAAAAAAAGTCCTATGACAACTACTGTCTCTTAGGCTTCAACTTTAAACGCGACTCTGTTTCTTTTTGTTTGCTTCGAGAAGAAAAACCGAAGATGCACTAAATATTTATTCAAATTAACTGCATTAGGAATAAACTATGATTCTGATTCGATTCATGTAACGAGCTTAAATATATACTATATGAAGCGTTGTTTTTAAATTCTACTTTACTCAGTTGGTGTTTCAATGAATATTGTGAATTTATTTGAATAAATTATGTTATCACTACTCTTGATGCACAAATATATATGAANGCCGCCCCCCCACCCCCGCCCCCTCACCCCACCCCCACCCACCCCCCACCTGCACGCACACCCACGCACACCCACACCCACACACCCACACCCTCACCCTCACCCTACCCACACCCACACCCTCACCCTACCCACACCCACACCCTACCTGCACGCACACACACCCACATCCACACCCACACCCACACACCCACACTCTCACCCTCACCCTCACCCACACCCACACCCTATGAATGTGAGGAAAGAGAGACCACAAAGGTCTATGCACACTCACACTCACATACTGATGTTCACTATTAGGACTGTTAGCTTAGATGTTGTCCGTGTCGCCATTACAGAATATTAATTCTACTCGATTTCCTGTTCTAGCACGAGCAAGATACTGCGCTCTATTGTGATTAATATGATTATGATAGAGATTTCGTGTGGCTAGTGTCTGTTTTGAGCATGCGGTGAAAGATAGATACAGTATGTCATGATATTACTTGGTTTTGTTCGAGCGCTTTCCCAAGACGTTGTACTGCTTCACCACCGATTCCACTGTGACACAGATAGAGTGTGATTAATGTCTGTTTTCAAAAGGCACTCAATGGTAGATAGAGATATTGACGTAAAACCGTGATGTGTTCGTTCCATATCATTAACAGGTTTGGTAAGGACTGTTTAGGGTTCGTTTTTGTCTGCTGAGGAAATGAGCAAATCCTGAAGAAAGCGTATGGCCACGCAATTGTATGTCCTAACAGGAATTAAAACAAAATCCAATCAGGAGCTTGATTAGTATAGGACGCGTCTTGAGACGAATCCCTCAGAAAACCCTTACGAATCCTTCTATTGGGATCACGAACAGAACCTAACTAAAAGTGGATCAAACCTTCAGAGTATCCTGCCTGCTATCCTATGAGAATCCTAGATAGGATCTAGAGTCAATTCTGGTATTCGCCTGAATTGTTAATTTAGAAACACTCTTGGCAGAGACTTGAACAAATTCTAAAAAGCATCCTGTTAACCCATGTGAAATCTGCAAGCAGAAATTCCGAAGAGCTGAGACAGGATTCTTGAAATCCAAGATCCTCAAGCAATCAACAGAATTAAGACTAGAGGAAGTTGAAAATATTACTTTGTTTTGTTCGAGAGCTTTGCCAAGATTTTGTGCTCCTTGATGACCTATTGTATTGTCACTGAGATTCAGTATGGTTAGTGTCTGTTTTGAACAGATAATGAATGATAGATAATGAACACAAGGACTAGTGATGGCAGTAGGTAAGTTCAGTTTGAGAAAAATGAGAAACGATTCTAAGCATGTTATCAATATCATAGCACAAGAGTGAATAAAGCATTCAGATAAAATCAAACAGTTGCAAAAAACAGTAACAAACGGCATTTATTTGCTTACGAAGAAAAATAATTATAAAAAGAACAAAAAGACTACAGATCATTGTCATTCCTCACGTTCGTTATCTAGTGGTCAGACGTATTGAAAGTATTTTTCTTTCTTTCTTTCTCTTCTCTTCGTTCTACTATTGTGCGCACATCTCTGGTGTTTCCTTTCTACATCGTATGGGTACACCAGGGGATGATGGCAGGGATATCAATCCTAATCACCATAATGAAAATGATCACATTAATCAGACTCAGTTAGAATATGGAAATACAACAAATAAAGAAGATAATCTTGAGGGTTATCAGTATGTCTCTCGCTAAAATCGTAAAAGAAGAAATCAATTGAGTGATGTGGATCCTTCAACACATTCCCCTCATACACCCAAACGGCGAAATTCAGAAAAGATTGAAAATCCTTCTGGAGAAAAACCAAATATCTCAAGTACAACAAAAATAATATCATCATATTTTAATAATAGTCGAAATTCGAATAAACAAAAATATGAACCAAGTGATAGAAAACAACGTCAACTTGATTCATTTCCACCTTTTCGTATTACGATAAAAGATTGTCAGTATCCAATACAAGATATCGCCATCATCAAAGATATGAATAGAAAGTGTAAATTAAATCTTACATATGGTCGTATGTCATCAAAAAGTAATCGCTGCTACCTACTTTATTGTAACACGTCGATGCAATTTGAATATCTGTTGGAGAAAGCAAAATGGCCAGATAAAATATGTGATTTGGAATATACTTTTGAAACACCTCGAATAATTCCCTCATCATACTCGTTGGTAATGCTGAATGTACCAACGCAGTGGGACGTTCAATATTTCTGTAACGAACTCAAAGTTCAATATAAAACCATCATCAGATGTGAATGACTTTACGTATGGGGTGAACGTCTCATACCGAAAATCCGAACTGACTTTTCTTCAAACAAAGAGCTTTCAGAAATACTAAAGTGTAAGCGTATGTTACTTGATGATGAAAATACATCATATCCAATTGAGCAATATGTTCCACCTTTACGAGCACTTAGATGCTACGGCTGCCAACAATTTAATGATCATGTAGCGGCGCGATGCCCTAATAAAGATAAACCAATCTGTTTCAAATGCGGACAGCAACATGAATACAATCGTGATTGTTCAAATGAAATATGTTGCGCGCACTGTGAAGGAAACCATATGTCTGGTGGTCCGAACTGTCCAAAGATAATAGAATCTCGTGAACTGAAGAAAGTACAATGAAAGCAATCGTCATCTTCATCTATGCACTTATCGAATAATAACAGATGGAGAGGAGACAGTGCTTTTCAGCTATTTGAGAACACTGCAACAACAACACCAATCTTAACAAATAGTTCTACTAACGATAACAACTATCAAATGAAACTTCTTGATACAATCCATCTGAATATACAAAGTATACTGAAACAACAAGTGGACTTAAATAATAATTTAAAAGAGCTAACGATACAATTAAATAGTCAAGCAAAAGAAATTATTAGTATAAACCAAGTTCTTAACGAGATGGTTTGCCCAATATTACAAGAAGTGACACAAATAATTTATACTCAAATTAATTCACAGCAAAACGACAAATTGATTCTTCATACAATAAAATGGTAAATTATCTCAATCAGAAAGATTTGAATTGCCCCTTTTCTAACACAAGGCATACGAATAAATCACTACAACATTAACATCAACAAACTAATCTCAATGAAATGACTCCATCTAATGACAATTACAACCACAGAAGCAATGAATCTGTATGCTAAAGAATTTTTTTCTAATCATGTAGAATCATTTCCTATATTAGTTGAACATTTATCACAAAAACAAATAAAAATCTTTCAAGAACTTATTTTAGAATGGACAACTATACCTACATTAAATGAAGTTTTTGCAAAAATGGGAGAAAAGAAGCACAAAAATTGCAGATATGTTGAATGTCAAAAGTGAATAATTGAAGATCATGCTGCTCAATGTCAGTAGTTTGAAATTATATTTACCGGATATTTTTCTCTTACTAGAGAGTATACCCTGCTCTATTATCGTCTTCAATGGTACACATCACAATGAGGAAACGGTCAAAACCTTCTCAAAGCACTATAGTAGTTATAATACGTATTGGGAGAAAGGAACAAACAATTTTGGAGGTGTTTTAATAGCGGTGCACCGTTCTATATCGGTTCAGAAGGTAGATATATTTCAACATCTGCCCAATGTAATTGTTCTTGATATTGGTACAACTGCAGATAAATTTCAACTAGCAACATGTTATTCTCCTCCAAACGAAAATCTACCTATATCTTTGTTTGATAAAATCTTGAAACGAAATATAAATACCGCTTTACTTGGTGATTTTAATGCTAAACATCAATCATGGTCCAGTACAATTGATAACCATAAGGAACGAGTTCTTTTCAATTGGTTGTCAATAAATGCACTAGTTGTCGTCAATAAGTGTGTACCAACATCTACTCGTTCAAATGCAACGATTGATTTAATCTTAGCTCCTACACATATGATAGCATCAACATCTTCATTTTGTGTTTTCCCTTCCATCGGCAGTAATCATTTTCCTGTCTTATTGATACCGACAAACAAATTACATAAACGTGATTGTCTTTATCCGATAAAACGTACATATTGGACATTATTTAAATTATTCCTAGTATTTACCTTTTCCTTTTGGAATGATCTGTCTTCTAAAACTGATGATACTATGCATTTTTTCAGTACATATGAACGTTTTCTGGCATTGTTGGCGTCTAGGTTAACTTATGTATCTTATTGCAACGAATACAAGCCATCACTACCACCTCATATAATTAATCTAATGCAATAAAAGAAAATGATATTGCAATTAGCAAGAAAAACAAAACATCCTTTCTATATCACACAATTAAAAGCTTATTCAACATTAGTACGTAAAGAAATTTTTGCTCACAAACGTTTATCTTGGCTAAACTACTGTAGTACCTTAAACGTAGCGGATGTGAAACAATTTTGGAAAAAAGCGCAAAAACATTTTTCCGTTACAAAACCACTGATTAACGGTTTCTTATCAAACGGTGCTGTGAAATCTACACCAAATGAAATGTGTAATCTTACTAAATCATTCTATGAAGATCAATTCTCGATGCATATCAACACAACAACGTGAGTCGAAATTGAAGCTGATAATGTAATCAAACAATTGGACAAGGGAATCAACAAATTCACACCACTACCTCCAAATATTAGAATTAAAGATATTGCAAAGATCATCTTGTCTTTGAAAAATAAAAACTCGTCTGGTATAGACGGAGTTTCCAATAAGATAATCAAGTTGATACCATCATCACATCATGTATTTATTTGTTCCTCCTTTAACCATTTTATGTCGCATCTATGTATGCCATCTCACTGAAAAACAGCCAAAATGATTTTACTCTCAAAAACTAAGACAAATATAGTTAACGTAAATGATACACGTTCGATTTCACTACTACCGTACTTCTCGAAACTATATGAAAAGATCTTTCTCAGACATTTTCGTCAGTGGGTGAATGATAATGGTATTTTACCAGATAAACAAACTGGTTTTGGCCCTGGACATAATATGATAGTAAGACTAGTTTCGATTATTGATCAAATTAGACAAAGCCTGACGGTTAATATAGCAACAGCTGGTCTTTTTATTGATTTTCAAACTGCATTTAACCAATTGTGGTTTAACGGTCTGATGTTAAAGCTTTCTCGTTTAAACTGTCCTTTGTATCTAATGGCGTGGTTAAAAACCTACTTATGTGATAGAACAGCGTTTATTTAGATTAATGGCACAACATCTAGCACCTTTTCTCTCTACAAGGGAGTACCATAAGGGTCTTGTATAGGACCAGTTATTTATATAGTGCATCATTACGACATTTTGAATAGCATTTCAATGTTACATAGGCAACATCTTTTCGCAGATGATCTGGTTGTCCTTGTGTCTTCTTCTGCAAACTGGTCCTCCAGAATTCTCATACCTAATATTATTGAACAAATAAAAGATGTAATTTCTCAATTACTGTCGTCTTCCTTGATGTGGAAACAACCTATCAACTTCCAAAAATCTTTTTGGATATTGCTTCATCGACAAGTTGCTCCTATCATTCCTCAACATATCAAATGTGATGGACATTTGATATCTCATTATAATAAAATAAAATATCTTGGAACAATTTTTGATAGTAAGTTGTCTTCTACTTTACATCTCTATTATATTGAATCTAAAATACGTAAAAATATGGGAATATTCAAATATCTCTCATTAAAACGTATGTTAAGTGAAACTGTGTCTTATAGAGTATTTAATGCTTATATAAGACCATACTATCAATCGCTTCTAAATGTCTATCCCATTTTATCCAATTCCAAACAAAATCATCTTGAAGCCGTAAATAGGCAAATGTTCAGAATTATTCATCATTGATTCGATGCAACTAATGATGAGATCTCTAATTTACCAAAATATATAATCGATAAACAAACTCACACAAACGTATTTTAAAAAACTCATTACAACCAGTATTACAACAAATCCATCTGTGATAGGTGACCATCTCCAGCATAGAATGTATTTGTTGTATATCTCTGAGTATTATAATAATCCACTATTGTTAAAAGAAAAAAGAGCAACTGTAAACAAAGGAAGAACAAGTAAAAGAATTGTAAACTTGTTTGAAAATGTTAAATGTTTCTTGTACGATTTTATTCTTTGTTATTAACTGAACTAATGTAATCAAAACATTTACTGTACTCCACTTCTCTAGTCTTTTCAAAATTTACTGGTGCCACCACAACTAATTTGTACTTATTTTTCTGTCTTTTTTTTCTACTACTGTGGCTTAACTTGTTCGCTATGTTGTTAATTTTCATACAGTAATATATGTATGGTTTCTATTTTGGTTGTCACAGGGACGATGTTCGTCCATGGCAAAGAAGGTGAGGAATTGCCACACACCTGAATATTTAAATAAAGCAATATACTATTATTATTACTACAGATCATTATCTGCCCCTGTACTTCTAACAAAGGATTTTGTGTATACATGGAAAAGACACCGAAAAACAGTCGAATGATGAAAATGTGGAAAGTGTGAGCATATCAAATTCGAATCATTCAAAAGCAAATAATTTTATTAACATATATGACATATAATGCATGACTCATAATACAAAAAAATATAGAAATTGTCATAGTACATGCTAACTATGTTGAGGGTGTGGATATAGACTATGAATACAAATATCCAAGTCGATATCCGACAGTCACCATACACCAATATACACAATCACACACTCACATTCTAGAGTAATAAAGCATATATAACAAAAAAATTGTACAGAATTCTTCAAAATTTTTCATGATGCATATTGCGATACATGTTACTATGTTTCATAAGATAAATTTACGACGCACAGTAAAAATACAAAGCATAGTCATGTATTCTGGTGCCAATGCCAAAAAAAAACAGTTAGTGTGATTGTGAAGGATGTTTTCAGATGGTGACTGGAATGTGACATTCAAGAGCGGATGTGAAATCCACGCATAGCTTAAGTATCAATTTGAATCTTTGCAGATGGTTTCCTCCCAAGTAAGCAAAACATAAGTGATGATTGGCGACATGACTAGTCCGAAAAATCTGGAATATCCATCATGTCTAGTCTGAAGTGGCTCTCCCATGTGTCATGACTAGTTATGTTGACACGAAATTTCCTCTAATCACATCCTGACTAACTAGTCCTAAGCGTCCTTGCACATTGTCATGTCTAGTCGGTTTTTACATCTAAACTGTCGAAACTAGTCCGTAAAACAGGAGAAGACTAAAAAGTAGTAGACACAAGGTGGACTCAAACATCCGACCCGAAAGTTGCAAAAACGACGCATTTTCGGACCCTACGCCATGTCTTCATAGCCTAAAGAAGCAAAAAAATGATTAATGGCAGGTGATGTGACTAGTCGCAATGTATGGAACACCTGTCAAGGCTTGTGTGAAACGTCTTTTATATGCCCCATGACTAGTTGTTATGATGAGAAAAGATATGGGTGTGTAGCTTTTCTTTTGTCACCACTATACTAACACCCCACAACCTATATCCACACTTACACTCTTCTTATGCCATATTTTACTGACATCAGCCTAATTTTTACTGATCACATGAACGCAAGTGTTTTTATATCGCATACTGTTTTGGATACGAACACCAATAGATGAAAATGGAGTCTAAATCTTTTGGTGTACTCAAAAAGTGAGTACACTCTAGAATCGGTCAGTGTGTCCGTCCGGCCGACCTGCCATTTACATGATAACTTTCGAGAGGAGAGTCCGATCGCGATGAAATTTTCTACACAGTTTCGTCTCATCAATATCTCGACCAAGTTCGAAGATGAGAATGATTGGTCGAGCCATTGCTGAGTAATCGGAAAAAGAGTCATTATTCCCTATGCTTTTCTATGCGAGCATTGACCTATCTTGTTTTTCGCAAAAACCTTTTCCTCTCATAATCAAACAAAACCTCAACTATTATATACCATCCGATAGAAAATTTCACGAGCTTCAAAATGGTACATAAAACATTAACAAACAAGAAGGCTAAGTCATTTATTGGAAAGATACTTAAACGGAAATTGGTTCTGTTTTTGTCCACGTTCCAATTGATCGAAAAAGTGAAGGTCCATCTTTCGATCACAGAGTTGATAGCTCGAGGTTTCCTAGGATGGAGAACTCGAATCTGAGCTCCACTTGCCTCGAAATCCTATTGGTTGAGCAGTAACCAATAGAAATCAAGTTTAAAGAAAAACGACTTTCTGAGGATGATTCAGGACGAAGAGTTTAAATCTGAGCTATATTTGCTTCAAAACTCTATTGGTTGAGCAGTGATCGATACAAATCAAGTTTTAATAGAAGAGGCTCGCCAGGATAATTTTGATGCCTACACGTGCTAGGATGACTCATCTGTCCAGTTCACTTTTTGAAGTACACATAACACTCGGATTTAAATCCAATGTTTCCACATTTATTTTATCATGAATTTTATTTAAACATATTAGGAGAGTACAACGAAAGTGCCATTGCACTATTTGCTGATTACTATTGTTCAGCAACATTAACCTTGGACAATAATTCACTAATGGATTGGAGTGGCTCCTGTGATGTAATCTTATCTGAATTTTCTGCCGCTGTTGAAATCAATACTTCTTTAGTAGAAGTTATATCTGCTTTATGTTCATTTTTTGGCATAATCTCATTGCAACTTGTCACCGTGTCGGGATTCGAATCCAGGTGAGTATTTGAAAAAGACTCAATGACAGTCGATGTTGATTGAGATACTGTTGTGTCCTCATTATTCGAAACATCTTCGCTTGTTATTGCTATAAACTTACAAAAAGGTTCATCATAGTTAATTGTTGGACGAATTGAAGAAAAATATTCGTTAGTAATGGGATCTTCTATACGTCGATCGAATTGTAGTCGTGCATCCTGAAGGCAGCCGATTGCTTCATCTTTCCCCATGGTACCCTTAATAATTTTGGTGATTTCATAATTGCCCAAATTAAATGATAAACAAATAAGTAATGGATAGGCATCAATATTGAATAGACTCAGTTCTTGAACGATAGAATCACCAATGCATTGTCGTATTGTTGTTTGAAGGCTAAAATACAATTATTGTTACAGACAACGGTGGAACATTAGCTTTGGATTGAATTTTTGCACAAATCGAATGCAGAGAGGAAAGAAAACTGAATAGTACAGCCTTCGATGATACTGTTTGATAGCTGAAGTTTCCGTATTCAAATTGTACCAACAGAAAAGTTTTGATTTCCGAGAATTCATTCAGATATGTTTTACCTTTCTCACCTCATCTACTCTGAGCGACAATAGACAATCTGGGAAACAGTATACTTCAGTACTCTTGTATAGTTCTGTACAGTCACGCCAAGGGACAAATCCAAGCGGAAAGCAACGTACTTCAATACTTCGAAGTATCCTGGATTCAAACAAGTTGATTTAATTTTCGTGATGTTTTTTTTATATTATTACAATATCTCTATATATTTACTTTCTCCTAGTTTTCCACATTCAAAATGCATGCTTTTAATTTAGCTCGTTGGTCACACATGTAGAATGTCGTTGAAAAAGTATTTTAGCCCGAATTAAATGACTTAAACTTACGCTTTATAATCAACATCATCGGTTCGATCATATACCCATAAGACAAAGTTTTGATTGAGATAATCGACAATAAAGCTATTAGGAAGAGTATTCGCACAAAATAGATGAGTACCAACGCTTCGCTCATGATGCAAATACATAGCCAATGGACGTGACTAGAAATGAGAATATTTTTGTGAATTTTCTTAAAATTCTAAACATACATTTTCATTATTGAACAACGATTGATCTACAGCCATTTCTAATCCATCTGTACAGATGTTGAGTACACAGATCTCATAGAGTTTGCTAAATATATGTGGCATTCTCTTTGATGCTTCATATCGTTCAGCCAATTCATCATATTGTTCTCTCATGGATGGGCCACCTAGAAAAATAATTTGATGGTTAGAAACATTTATGGAAACATTTTAAACTTACTTATTATGGGCTCTCCTATGTCGTATTGGGCAATATCAATAGGCCCATCAGCATATGCATCGATCTAATAGAAATGACATAGAAATATCTTTGATATAAATCATTTTTCATACTTTATACCTCGTAGTCATTGTTATAAATTAGATTAGATTCTTCTCGATTTAATAGGACACAATTCTGCATTCTATGCTTCAATTGCTGTCGTAATCGTTTCGTTGATGATGATGATCGTGAACAGAGAAAAGTTAAGCGTTACAGTTATATATGAAACACTTTCTCATGCTTTTTGTGAATCAGTGGGGAAAAAACCATCAGTAAAACAAGTACATGAGTCAATCATGTTTCTTTTTCTGCTTGCTTATCCTTGTATGCCGTAATTTATCATCGAAGGAAGTTCGTTTCGTTGGCTTGCATAGAACGATGGCGAGTTATGCAATTACAATTTGCAAAAAAAAGATGTCGTAGCAATCAATCGCGGTAATTATCAGTGAAATCGACTATCACGAATCACTAATAGAAAATCGTATATCTACGCCGTTTTATGGCCAAACTGTACAAAGTTTTGTTTATTTCTAACAAAAATTCTACAATTTTATTCCGAATCATAATTAGTAAGAAGGCATACACTATAAAGGTCAATACGCAAGTCGTAATCATGAAAGTAAGCAAAAGAAGAAGAAAAAAAACCTAGAGCGTTTTTTCAATGATTTATTGCTCTTAGAAAATTCATCATCATGCACACAATGAAAGAAGATTAGTGTAGAACTCAATGAGTTAGCCAACTCTTCACATTTTGAAATTTATATACAGGAAAAATTGAAAGAAGTCTATGTTTAAAATGATCAATTTTAACGAAATTTTATATACAACTTGATCCAAAAAATAATCTAATGTGGAGAATCTGAATCTGAAGTCAAAGAGCGATTATGCTAATATCGTAATTAATAGAGTCAGATTTTCATTTTGGTAGTATGATTGTGATAACATATGGCTATTTTTTCAAATATAAAAAAATATTTCGCATGCAATATCAAACGTATTCTCATGCTTGTAGACACTAATCATTAGTTCTTGGAAAGCTCATCTTCAATTTTCATAATAGACTACGTGTTCATCAACAAACAATGTAGAGGTAGGAAATGCAACGATGATGCAAAAAAAGAGACCAAGTGGTTGTCTTAGTTCTTGTTTGATCATGCCTAATTGAACTTCGATCTGAGTGATTATTTTCCTAAGATGGTGAATCTTTCAAGATTAAGTGTTCCACTTAGTTCGAGAGGACTTTTTTTCGTTCGTAGGGAAAATCGATTGTAACCAAGAGAAACGTACAGTGTAAAAGAAACTCAATAAAAAATCATGAGTGCATTTACCTGCTACGCTGTCTGGAGTCATTGTTTCGTTAGTTGTTCACAATGCCCCGTTTATTTGTGCTCGTATAAAGAGAAGGAAATAATTCAGACTTCATACTGCACACGAAATATTGTTATTCTATGTGACATGCAATTTATAAAATTCTTTTTTTTTGCTGTTCTTATCTATTTTGAAATGTTGCAACAGTTAAAGTTTGTCGTTATTTGACTAAAAGTAAATTATCAAAGCTTTCTTTTTTAACAAGAAGAAAGCTGTTAGCATAATGTCTAGCGAGATTAAAATATGAAACGCAATGCAGACATTCTATTGAAATAAGTAATTTCAGAATGAAACAATCGAAGATAGCATATCTGTCTTCAAGTGGGGTGGGGAGGGGAAGAGGATACAAGTTTCTCGTTTGAAATTTCAACACTGTTTTTCATTCGTATTTCGCAAAAATCAAACTACAAGATGATAGTTTACCAAATTTTGACCCTTTATTCTGAACTATTTTTTCATTGTATCCGAATACACTAAATGCCTTTTGCAGATGCTAGGGATATAGTCAACGGATGGTTAAGCATGGCCATTCAAGGATGAAGATTCTGATGATCGACAACAAGCAAATTTTCCTGTTTGGAATCCAACACACAGAATTTTGTCAAATTGCAAGAGGTCTAGTTGGAGTTTACCAAGCTGCATATCAAACCATCGAAAAACGTTTTCTAAAAGTCTAACACGTAAGATTGGTATCATTAGAAAGAGTGCAAAAAACTGAGTATTACCCTAGAATATGAGCGCGGAGTATAGTGTAGTCCCAAGCAAAATGTTTTAAAACAAGATTCACTGCAAGAAGAAATTTGTTCATTCTTTCTTCAGTTTTTTCTTTCGTTCTGTGGTACGCGTATACACATGCATACATATATATATGTACGACAGAACGAAAAGAAAAACTTTCTGCATATACAGGGTATATCAAAATTATAGCCCCATCTATGTTATATTCAAAAAAATTAATATTTTATTTTTTCAAAAGATCTAATCTTTTAATCTATATGTATATTAGATAGATGAGTGTGTGTAACACATTAATAATCCCTCCTCCTTTATGTACACGTTGTTGAGAACGTTCAAATCGAGTTCGATCGTGACGAAAACGACGTATATATATTCTATTCTTCCGATTTAATATTTCATAGTTACTTTCATCAGTAAATACAACGTTCGACCAGTCATTTATTGACCAGTTCAAATGTTCATAAGACCAGTCAAGTCGAGCACGTCTGTGTGCAGGAGTAATTCGAGGTTTTTTAGGTGCAATATACGAAACCATATTAAAATCACGAAGAATACGACTGACTGTGTGTCGACTAATTGTTAAATTCAAATCTGTATGAGCAAATCGAACGAGATCGGTCAATGACAATGTATCGTCCCGAAGTTGTTGAAGCTTAATCAATCGTTTTTGACGTTGTGTTACTTTTGGTGGACGTCCAGCACCAGGTTTCGTAGCAACTGTATGAAATTTATCAAATTTACGAATAGTTTGGCGAATACATTTACAAGAAATGTGTAGTTGACGAGATATTTCATGTATTAATGTGTCACACACACTCATCTATCTAATATACATATGGACTAAAAGAATAGATCTCTTGAAAAAATAAAATATTAATTTTTTTGAATATAACATAGATGGGGCTATAATTTTGATATACCCTATATATTTAATATAGAATAGTTAGACAACAGTATTCGAAAAGAAGAAGTTTCGATTCGTTTTTTTACAATAAAGTTCAATTATTAATAAAAAAATCAGAATTTCATAGCAGCATTTGTGGACCTAGGAAAATACAAAATATGACATAATAAAAATCATCTTGTTATGAGATAAATATTTGTTAACAAAAACATGAGAGCTGGGGATTTTGCTTTTATAAAAGCAATTTTGTCAGAAATTTCCTATTTTAAAACGATAGAGTTTCTCGTTTATCTAATTTATTCTATGTAGATGCAGAACTTGCCGGCATAAAGATGGAAGATTATTTAATTGAAGTCAATGGTCAAAATATTGAAAACCTTAATCATGATCAAGTAGTACAATGCATTCGTGCTGTTAAGCATCCAGAGCCATTGAAACTATTAGTAGCTGATGCTCATACATATGAATATTATAAAGGGCAAAAAAAAATTATTCATCGTGGCTTACCAAATATTAAAGTCATGCCCGCTAATAGACCAACTTGTTGAGCATTACCATCTGCTTCGTTACATCGACTGATGTATTATAAAAACTAATATGACTATTTTTCTGTTCATTTAAATATTTTACTTCAGGACTAGATATACAGGGTGGTCCAAAAAAAGCTTACCCCCTTTTGGTAATGCTGTTTTTTTTTATCTTTAACATTTAGTTTTAGTCCAATTCTTTTTGCAACAGATAGGCCTAGGAAAAAGTCACTAGAAGATACAATTTATTTCGAAACCGTTTCACCGTAAATGAAAGTAAAAAAAGTAATTGATTAAATATAAAATCTGTTCGGGGACGAAATAATCTTTATTATTTTTGAGTCCTGTTGTAAAAATTCAATAATTCAATAGAGAAACAGAATTATGACGTAGAATTTTTACGCCAAATTTATAGACGTCCACAGTT